AAGATAAGAAGTGGTAAAAGCAATGATTTATTTTTAGTTCAACATTAAAAGATTCAATCATGATAAAAGTTGGTTGTTATTGATTAAAGATGTATTACTAAAAGAAGTGGTTGTAATCAATTTAAAACAGATGGCATCGCAAAAAAAAGTGGGAAAATATTGCTTTACTACAAGTGGCAAGATTAAAATAGTAAGGAAGCCCTTTTACGAAACTATTTTGAGTTAATTTTATCTGTAAGATATATCTTTTATAGTCTATTTATTTTGTTAAAGGTTCATTAAAGAAATAAATACGACATAATTTATTCATTACTAAGTTAGTAAATAACTAGTCTAAATAATATGTTGTTATTACTGAATATGTTGTTATTATCTAACTAATATGTTGTTAAATTTGTGTATAGTATAATTTTATTATACTGCAGCAGTATTCTCGTCTCTCCGTTAAAATAACGAAAAGTTCAAGTGACCGTTAAAAAAAATTATTAACGGGTCGTTACGAAACGGATGGAAAAATCCTATTCTTATTCTTTCGTTAAGTCATCGTTTCTCAGCCGTTCCGTTAACTTTGTCAGTTAAATTCCTTTTGTTATCCCGCTTCATTAACTAACTTTCGTGCCTTTTTTTACATAGCAACCAAATATTGCGATGCCAACTGGCGATATTATTATTTAGATGGTACATCACAGTGTGGTTTTTTTTAATAATGGCTGCGTAATTTTTTAAACTTAATTTAAAAAAATTAAAGTAACAAGAAACTGTTTTAGACTTGTACAAAGTATTTATTTTTTATATTTTCAAATTAAGTTTTTAATATTTTAAGAGTTAAATTATGTATTAACACTATAAAAAAAAATTGAATTAGAGTTACACTATACAATGTAATAGAGTTAATCTATACATCGCAAATTGACAACAAATACAAAATTAATAGACCATTTATTATTATAAAAAAGGAATTTGAAAATGAGTAAGTTTGTTTAAATAAACTATTGTCAAAAATTTCTATATAACAATATGAACATATAAAACAATTTTTTTTTTTTTATTCTTTTGCTTAAGAATGAATATAAGTCATTTTTCCAATTTTATGTCTATTAGTCTTTAATACGTATACTTATCTAAACTTTATGTTCTTGAAATACTGATAAATTAATTTTTTATTAAACTTGAAGATTAAAAAATAAAAATAAATAATAATAATTGCGTATAAATTTTCAGCAAATCATCGCAAATTAAAAAAAAACAACTGCTCTGTAAATATATTCTAAATCTACTTTATTAATGTAAATTTAAAGAGACAAAAGTTGTTTAATAAAAAGAACCTAAAATTTCAGTTTTTTTCTGTCGAACAATATTTAAAATTATTTTTAGTTGGTTAATTGATTTCCATGTTGTTTTGGATTCGGGGTATTGTTTCACATTTGAGTTATTTAAATCAGCTAATGTTAAAAAATTAAATTTTGTTTTTAAAACATTAACAAATCATAACCAAATATTTTAAACTGTTTCTTTTGTGCTTACAACTTTCTTATGAACATGAATCTGCTTAAAATTTTATCTTTTCTGTTTCATTATAATTAAATATTTCATATCATTTTATGTTTCAACATCGGTTTACATGGTTTCGCATCAGTTCGAAAAAACTCAATGTTTTTCTTTGTTTAACTCCCTTTTCATACTTAAATCACTTTTAATTTAAGTATAAAATGTTATTCACTTTATAAAAACAAAATAATATAAGTAAAATGTAACAATTACAGTGTTTCATGTGATAATACAACATGTATTTTAAAGTATAACAAATGTACTTTAATGTATAATAAAAGCATAATAAATTAATATACATTAACAATTTAATGATTGAAGAACAAATAATATAAATATTGTAAAGTACAAATTAGCACTTATTAAAATTAAAACAAAACTTGTTTGTTGTAGGTAAAACAAGTAATTTATTCAGAATCTAAACAACAATTTATTCAGTTTATTTAAACAGTTTATTCTGCAGAGAAAAGCCCAACATATTATTTTGTTTGGATACCATTTTTAATATTGTAGAAAATCTCTCCGTTTTGGTCTTAACTTTAGGGTATACCAGAGTTAGATTTTAGCGTTAACTATCTTCCGTTAACTTTATTTTAACTGAACTGAGGACACGAGAATACAAATTTATTTTAACTCTGGTCTTAAAACTGCCGTTAAATTTTAACACATTTTAACCGTTACCTTAAAGCAGAGTTGGACGGAAAGACGTGAATCCGGGTGCTGGAATACTTATCTTGTTTGTTTTTAAATGGTTACCAATTAGGTTTTTTTTTTTTCCGAATTAAATAGTTTTATTAGTATTAGTTGTATACCTTGGAGCGTGTTTGACACAAAACCCTTGGCAGCCATTGCAACCAATCTCAGCTTTACTTTTTAAAAAAATGTTAGTAAACGTGAAACTTCGTTCGTACGTACGTAAACTTTTATGTTATGCTATGTTAAAACATACATAGACTTATATCAAGTTTTATAGTTTTACTTTCTCTTAAAAACTGCATTGCGTCAACCTCTTCTTTATTCCTGATCTTCAGCATGTATATCCGTTAAAAATAATTTTTATATAGTTTTAAACTTATAATGACCTACGCGCCTGCATGGCCGAGTGGTTAGCGCGCTGACCTTCTTAACAAGAAAGCCGTGGTTCGATTTCAAGATCCGGCAAATCTTATTTCAAAATCTTTTAGAATCTTTGAAAAATATTTGTGAACTTAAACAAGTTAGATGTAACGATACTTAAACATATATCAAGTTTTACTGTTTGACTTTTACTTTAAAATTGCATCAACCTGTCCTTAATATTTGATCTGCATCATTTATTTCCGTTAAAAACAATTTTTATATAGTTTTAAAATTTTGTTATGTAACTTGCCAGCATGGCCGAGTGGTTAACGCACTGAGCTTCTGATCAAGAAAGCCGTGTTCGATTCAAACCACCGGTCATCTTTTTTTTTTTTTTTTAATTTTTCAGACTTTTTAAATTACAAAATCTTGTGAAGTTTTATAAAGGTTATATACAATATATCTAACGATATTATACACTTAACAAACAGAAACATTATCAAAACAACTATAACTTTTAAAAACAACAAAAAACAGGGGGATTTTTGCATGTGTCATTATTGCGCATGTGTCATAATTGAGTTATATTATTTGAATTTTACATTTCAAGTTTATTTACGATTAAGTTGAGTTCGCACTAGTATACAACATGTTTATATATAGAAAACAAAACCTATAGAACTGTAAATTGTTGTTTTGTTTTGCATTTTAAATGACAAAAATTAAAATACAATCAAGCTGATATTTTAAATTTGACGTGCAGCGACCTTCACTGTTTTAAAAATGGTAAGGGGGTAGTTTAGGGTAGTTGCCCCTTTAAAAGTAGGTTTTTATTAAGAATTTAATTAGAAATTTTAATTTTAAATTTAAATTAAACCATTTTATTAAATTCATTATTTTTAAAAATAGTCGAAAATTAACAATATTTAATATTAACATAAAAAGGAAACTTTGAGTTTTACAACAAATTCACCACACCCCTGTTAAATATTTTAAACTGAGTGCGCAACAATGACAGAATTTAGAAAACCATAAAAAATAGTGTTATCCTTCATATAGTATTGAAAGAATTAACTCGGACGCTGTAAACTTATAATGCACGAAGCACTGTATATGTGCACCATGTAAGTATTTAAAGTTCACATTTAACTTTCAAAAATCTCTGAAATATCTTTAAATATTTCTTTCATTATTATTATAAAAATTATAATTATTCAATATACCTTTATTTATAAACTTTATGTATTTTTTGTAATTTTTCAATCTGTTTTTAAAGTTACTAAAATTTATTTTTTTAATGTTTCATTTAATGAAACATATTCTGTTTTGTAGGTGATATGTTTCTTGACAAGCTATAGAAACTTTGATCTTATCTGCCATAAAATATATATCTAATCTGTTATTCGATTAAATTAATAGATTAGACATTTTGATATACTCTATTAAAGATTTATTAAGACGTCTAATAATAACAAAACATGATTAAACGCAAATTTAGAAACTTATACAACTTTTTTGATACATTCACTAGTGATTCTTTAATCAAGTTGCAATTATTGTATAAATTAAAAAACATAATTGAATTTTCAAGTCGCTTTGTCAAATTAAGTATTACTACATTTTTTTTTTTGATCGAATAAATAAACTAGACGTATTTGTAATAAATTTCTAAAGAAAACCTAGCAAAATAGGCATGAATGGGTAATGTGTAAAAAGTCCATTTTTAATTTTTAAACAGAGTATTATTAAGAAAAGTAATGAGTAAGTCACTTTCAGGGAAAGTCAAAATTACAAAACAAAATATTTGGGGATAAAAATAAAAACATTGTTCACTTGTTAAAGTATTTATATCATGTCAAATTTTCTTTTTTTTTAGAAAGATAACTTATAATAATTCTACTTATGATAGCTCTGTATCATAAGAATTATTAGTAGATCTGCACCTCAATAAGTTTAAAAATGTTTTTTTTTTTTAATTGAAGTTTTATAATGTCTTATTACTAAATATTATTTACAATCTTTATAATATATTAAATATATTATTGCTTAATCTTAAAAACAAACCAATGTTTTTTGATATTGACCATTATCAGAAAATTTGAATTACTTATTGTAACACATAAAATCTATTTAAAAAAAAGAACGTTAAACAGTTAAGCTTAAATTTTTTTGTAAGCTTAACTATCTTTTCTTTTTTAAGTTTTCAAAATTTTCCAAATAAAGTTCTTACTTTATTTTTAAAAAAGTAAACCAACGACTTTTATTAATTTTCTTAGAAGTCGCCAATTTTTTTTTTTTATACATAAAAGTCACTATTTAAAAAAAATAATTAATACATTAAAAAAAAAAAAAATTAATAAAATAATTAGTTTATTCCTCAACAAAACAAATACCCTTACTCAACGTTTGATCATTTAAACCATCGTCAGTTTTAACGAACACATTCTTCAAAACTTCGGTTCCATTCACTATTAAAAAAATAGTTTGTAAATAACTAAACTTTTGTGTGATAGCTACTTTTTCTTTGCTTTCTTTGTTTTTATAAATATAATTATTTTATATATATAAATATTTTTTCTTTTCCAGATAAAGTAACTTTTTTTTTTACAAATTCCTCTTTTTTTACAATGTCTTCTTTTATCATGTCATTATTTTATTTTTTATTATAGAAATATCTTAAATTAAATTTTTTTTTAAACATACTTTTCTTTATATATTTTGTTTTGTTGCAATGTATAAATAAATTTTTTCCCGCTAAAACATGTGGTGTATTTTTTTATTCCATCAAAATATACCTAAGCGGTTAAAGTACTTCGCGTGGTTTCAAATCCTATCGTTTACGCTTAATTTTTTTTTTTAACTTTTTCCAATTTTCTAGAACACAAAGTATATTAATTTTTATAGACATAATATTTGTATACTATGAAAATCAAAACAATGTTGTATACTATGAAAATCAAAAGGAAAGGAATTTTTTTTAAAAGGTTTTAAAATTAAAAAAAAAAAAAGTTATTGAGCATGTCATGGTAGTGATACTTATGTTGTTAATATGTTTAGTAAATATTTAAAGTAAATAAAAGTATATATTAAGAACAAAGAAGTACGTGTCGACTAAATTTCCAAGTCCCGTACTTTACGGGTCATGACAACTAGTATATATATATATATATATATATATATATATATATATATATATATATATATATATATATATATATATATATATATATATATATATATAAATATATATATGTATATATATATAAATATATATAAATATATATATATATATATATATATATATATATATATATAAATATATATATATATATATATATATATATATATATATATATATATAAATATATATATATATATATATATATATACATATAAATATATATATATATATATATATATATATATATATATATATATATATATATATATATATATATATATATATATATATATATATATATATATAAATATATATAAATAGACTACTAGTGCTTGATTTACGGGTACTATTTTTATTTCTCTATTTTCACTATATTTTTCATTTATGTTCTTTTTATATTTTTATTTTATGTCAATTTTTATTTAAATTTATTATTTTCGTAAAAAAATTATTTTTATACTTATTTTCATAAGTTTTATTTAATTATTAACTATGATATTTTATATTTTTATATATAGGGTAAACTGGGGTAAAGTGAACTAGGGGTAAAGTGAACTATTTTTTTAAACTAAAAAGTTATCATGTTTAAAAAACTTTTTGTTAAGTAATTTAGCATTATTTTTGCTTAATACAACATTTTGAAATTTTTTAAATAAAAAAATTAATAAAATATAGCCTTTGTTTTGATGTAATAGCCATTTTAAAAAGCGAGTTTGGCGGAAGTTTTAAAATTACGATCTCAAACTTTGCTATGGGTTTTAGTAAATTCATGATTTGTTGTTATTAATGCGAACATCAGTTATATAATTTATATACATTTTAAAGATAATATAATGCTGTTAAAAAAAAATTGTAGTTTTTATCATAATATAAAAAAGCTAAGCTTTTAGTTTGTAAATCAATTTAGTTCACTTTACCCCTTATTTTTCTGCCTATTGGGGGTAAAGTGAACTAGTCTTTTTCTTATGTTTTTTCATCAAATATTTTTAGTAGAACTGAATATATAAATTGTAATTACTTAACTAAATTGTTTACTCTTAAAATAAGTTTTTTTTTTTTTAAATATTCTTAAAATTATTTTCAGAAATATAATATATTGAAATAATGCCAAGAAACTACATTAAGAAAAAAGAATCTCGAAGAAAAACATATGCACCTAATTTGTTGCAAAATGCCATTTCAAAAGTTAAAAATAAAGAAATGACTTCGTATGCTGCATCAAAAGAATATGGTGTTCCAAGAAGTACAATTGCAAGACATCTTCTAGGCATAAAATGCTCAAAAGTTGGTGAAGGGCGACCAAACCGATTATCTGCTGATGCTGAAAAAGATCTTGTTTCACTTTTATCTGCATTTTCTGATTTTGGATTTGGATTAGATAAAAAACAATTTATGAAACTTGTTCAAACGTATATTGAATTAAACGGATTTCAGAAAAAATTTGTTAATGGTGTTGCTGGTGATCAGTGGTTTTGTAATTTTTTAAATCGTTGGCAGAAAGAAATATATTTTAAGCACTAGTAGTCTATTTATATATATAAATATATATAAATAGACTACTAGTGCTTGATTTACGGGTACTATTTTTATTTCTCTATTTTCACTATATTTTTCATTTATGTTCTTTTTATATTTTTATTTTATGTCAATTTTTATTTAAATTTATTATTTTCGTAAAAAAATTATTTTTATACTTATTTTCATAAGTTTTATTTAATTATTAACTATGATATTTTATATTTTTATATATAGGGTAAACTGGGGTAAAGTGAACTAGGGGTAAAGTGAACTATTTTTTTAAACTAAAAAGTTATCATGTTTAAAAAACTTTTTGTTAAGTAATTTAGCATTATTTTTGCTTAATACAACATTTTGAAATTTTTTAAATAAAAAAATTAATAAAATATAGCCTTTGTTTTGATGTAATAGCCATTTTAAAAAGCGAGTTTGGCGGAAGTTTTAAAATTACGATCTCAAACTTTGCTATGGGTTTTAGTAAATTCATGATTTGTTGTTATTAATGCGAACATCAGTTATATAATTTATATACATTTTAAAGATAATATAATGCTGTTAAAAAAAAATTGTAGTTTTTATCATAATATAAAAAAGCTAAGCTTTTAGTTTGTAAATCAATTTAGTTCACTTTACCCCTTATTTTTCTGCCTATTGGGGGTAAAGTGAACTAGTCTTTTTCTTATGTTTTTTCATCAAATATTTTTAGTAGAACTGAATATATAAATTGTAATTACTTAACTAAATTGTTTACTCTTAAAATAAGTTTTTTTTTTTTTAAATATTCTTAAAATTATTTTCAGAAATATAATATATTGAAATAATGCCAAGAAACTACATTAAGAAAAAAGAATCTCGAAGAAAAACATATGCACCTAATTTGTTGCAAAATGCCATTTCAAAAGTTAAAAATAAAGAAATGACTTCGTATGCTGCATCAAAAGAATATGGTGTTCCAAGAAGTACAATTGCAAGACATCTTCTAGGCATAAAATGCTCAAAAGTTGGTGAAGGGCGACCAAACCGATTATCTGCTGATGCTGAAAAAGATCTTGTTTCACTTTTATCTGCATTTTCTGATTTTGGATTTGGATTAGATAAAAAACAATTTATGAAACTTGTTCAAACGTATATTGAATTAAACGGATTTCAGAAAAAATTTGTTAATGGTGTTGCTGGTGATCAGTGGTTTTGTAATTTTTTAAATCGTTGGCAGAAAGAAATATCTATAAGAACTCCAGAGCTTTTGACATTAACAAGAGCCTTAGCTTGTAATAAAACTGTAATTGATGCTTGGTTTTTATTACTTAAAGCAACATTGGAAAAATGTGACATTATGAATAGACCTGCCCAAATACTAAACTGCGATGAAAGTGGGTTTTGCACTAACCCAATAAATAAAAAAATTATTTGCAAAAGAGGTATTAAAAACCCTGTATCTATTGCTCCTGGATCAGGAAAAGAACAGTTTACTGTACTAGCAACAATATCAGCTGCAGGAAGAAATTTTCCTCCATTTATTTTATTTGCTGGGAAGAATTTGTATAAAGAGTGGATGACTGGTGGACCAAATGGTTCCTTATATGGGGTGACAAAAAACGGTTGGATGGAAACAGAAGTTTTCACTGAATACTTTAACCATCTTGTTTTATGGTTGAAAGACACACCCAAGCCTGTTTTGCTTATCTTTGATGGTCACATTAGTCATATTTCTTTAGAAACTGTTAAAAAAGCAGTTGAAAATCATATAACTATTTTGTGTTTGCCAGCACAATGTTCGCATTTGCTTCAGCCACTTGATGTAGGAGTCTTTCGCCAAGTTAAACATGTATGGCGTGAAATTCTGGCCAATTGGTATACCGAGTCAAGGCTGAAGGTGGTTGGGAAATCTGTTTTTCCATCTTTATTAAAAAAACTTTATGATACCTCCTTTAAGCCAGCTCATTTAGTACAATCCTTTGCCAAAACTGGAATTTTTCCCTTTGATCCATCTGCTATAGCATCTGACAAGTTAAATCCTTCTGAAATCTATGAACACCCTTTTTCTCAGAAAACAAATAACTATAATAATAACGTCCCTCAAAACATCGTTTTAGACACCAATGTCAATGATCAGAACGATACTTGTGAAAATTTTTCTATTGAATCAACAAATAAATACAATTCACAAAAAACTATAATATCAGTAGGAAAAGACTTAAACAATGAAAAAATAAATCAACTATCAATATCAAATGTAGATTGTTCTACTGGAAATAAAATCATTAGAGAAATAGTGAAAGAACAGTTAATGGCCACAAAGGGTGATGGTCGTTCATACAACAAACGACCTACAAAAAAAAATAAAAAGACACTATGGAGGTGAGTGTCTTACATCAGAAGATGCATTTAAAAGATTAAATGATGAAGAAAACGAATGCTTTAAAAGAAAGATCAAGCAGCAAGGCAAAATACAAAATAAAAAAACTAATTTATTAGAAATAACAAACACAAAAGAGTTAAAGATGAAGTAGTTCACTTTACCCCAATGTGGGGGTAAAGTGAACTAGTGGACATGTTTTTTTTGAATATATATTTAATATTGTAAAAGTAGCTTTTAATCTTAGTATTTTGTTTTATATTGTACCTAATACTTTAAATGGTATAAATTTTGAAAACTGCAAAATGTTTTGGCTTTTATTTTGAAAATATTTCCTTTAAATATCAAAAACAGTTCACTTTACCCCAGTTTACCCTATATTTAAGAAAATGATTATATACATTAAAGTAACTGAGCCTAACCCTAACCCTATGCCTGACCTTGCTGCCTAGCCAAACCAAACCCTTAGTCGATCTAGAAGCCTGCCCTTGCAAGATAGGCTATTTGTCAGTCGATGTATGTACTTTTCGCTTTGCATAAAAACTGTTTACAGGGACAATTTTTTACAAAAAAAACGCTACTTATGAGGACAAAAAATTATCGAGTACACTAAAATAACCCCTTTACTGCTAATGTCCTTGTAAGTATCAATTTAATGTAAAATCCGTTCTCGAACATGTTACTATATGGATATATATATATATATATATATATATATATATATATATATATATATATATATATATATATATATATACATATATTATATATATATATATATATATATATATATGTATACATTTATATATATATATATATATACATATATATATATATATACATATATATATATATATATATATATATATATATATATATATATATATATATATATATATATATATATATATATATATATATATATATATATATATATATATGTATATACATATATATATATATATATATATATATACATATATATATATATATATATATATATATATATATATATATATATATATATATATATATATATATATATATATATATATATATATCAGGCTTCATGATTAATAAAGACTGCGCAACGCATAAGCACGACGTGATTTTTCACGTCGTTAAATTCTTTTTATTTGTTTTTCATATTTATCAACATTAACTACACCAATTTACTTAATTACTGCAAAACTACTTTAAATCATTAATGTAGAAATGTTATTATTTAAAAATGTTTTGGAATGTTTCGTTTTTGAAAATGTAAAAACATTAGTTTATTTTCTCAACGTTTGACACGTTTTGTTTATTAAACGAATAAAAAAATATAACAATATAACAAACATTTAAAACAAATTTAAAAACAATATAACAAACATTTAAAAAAGATTATAAAATATGCTCAGATTTGATTTTCTCAAATATGTAATTTTAAGTTTTTCAAATAATTTTTTTTCTTTTTAAAAAGTATGCGAGTAATAAACTGCAAATTTCAATATTTTACAATTAAAAACTGTGCAATAGCTAATTTTTTTACTGGCGATTTTATATAATATTTTTTTATTTATTTATTTTTATTTATTTTCATAAAGCGGCTGATAAACACGATCACTCGTATTACTAAACAACTTTAACGAACGTTTTGCATAGATTTTTAATGTTTTACAAGGAATTTTATTTTTGGTATAATAAAATAAAATGTTAGAAAAAAAATCTTATAAAAGACATTTCAGCGAGAAAATTATTTATCAGCAGCTGTTCTTGAGCACGCTTCGTAGAGTTTCGGTAATTTTTAACAAAAAAGAGGTCGTTGTTTAAGTAATTTTTTTCGAGTTACATTTTACAAAAACTTTAATAGCTGTACTTTTTTATTGAATCAAGTATAATACTTTTTAATATTATTACTTCTATTTTTTTTATTTGTGCTTACCAATTTTTAAAATGTTTCCTTGAACTTACTCTTAAAAACTTTAAATACGTCTAACCATTAATAAATGTTTTTAAAAATATAGAATAATTTTAAAACCTAACAAACCCCCGTAAAATAATTATTTAAGTTAAAAATCTAAAATTAAAAGAAAGTATTTTTGTTCGGTTTTATCGACAACTTTGCTATTGCTGAATAATTTTATTAAAATGTTAGCTTATAAAAATTTAAACTTTTTCTTTTAATCAGAATTATTTTCAAAATTTATTTTTTTTTTTATTCAAACTTTTATATCAACTGCGTGCGTTTTTTAAAATACTTTAATAAATGTTAAATTAATTGTAAATTACTTTATTAAAATTCCGTTCAAAAATATCTTTAAATATACTCAAACAAAAATTTTTTGCTCGACGCAAATAGCTACACGCAAAATCGCTCTTGGACGTCGTAAAACTCACATCGCCCGACGCTTTATCGCAGGGTCTTATATATATATACACACATATATATATATATATATATATATATATATATATATATATATATATATATATATATATGTATATATATATATATATATATATATATATAAATATATATATATAGCAAAAATGATACATACACAAAAAAATTTATTAAAAACCTTTTTTGAAACTAAATAATAAAAGAACTGGTAAACAATATTAAATAGTAAGATTTATCTAAATCTGTATGTGTAAAAAATTATTTTGTTTATAAAATTAATCTAAATACTAAAACGTTTGTAACAAAAAAATCTACCAAAAATTTAAGCCCTACAAGGTTCCTTTGTAATTAAATATTAAGTCATCAACCTGATTTAGATCTTATTAACATAGCAATTGTTAAAGAAAAATTTTTTTATAATAAATGAACATGTTAAATTTTTTAAAGTA